GCAGTGCTGCTGACGCCATCCCTGCAGAGGGAGCTGGCAGACAGCATCTGCCTGTGCCTTCGCCAGGCTCCCAAACCCCAGGCCTGGTACCCCTTGGTGCGGCCAGCCCCGTGAGTGCCTTGGCTGCAGTCTTTCTCACTTCTCTCCTGGCTCTCAGCTGCATCAGCAAGAGCATCCCCTTCCCCCCAGCACAGCTCAGGCACAAGGGGATGCTGAGTGCCAAAACCTCCCAGCACGACGGCTCCAATGCCCCCATCCATGGTTTGCCCCATCCACAGAGCACCTGCTCTGCCTTGGGAGCGCTGTCCCCATGCAGGCAATGTGTGTGAGTCACCTGGCCTTGGAGTGGGGCCATCCCCTGCCCTGGAGGAGGGCAACCACAGGGTTTAGCTGGGGTCAGAAGGGGAAGGACCCTCTCGGAGGAGGAGGAGGAGGAGGAGGAGGGATTGGGGTGGGCGGCACGCTCCAGGGAACCACGTTGCGGGGTCTCCCGGACCTGACGTGCACGCAGGACACTCTCTGTGGCTCCGGTTTTGTGTACGCGAAGCACTCGTCAGCGGGAAAAGTGCAACCTCAGGTTCTCTCCCACAGGCAGCTCTTTGTTCCAAGATAAAGGACCTTACACCAAAGGCTCTTTGTGCCGCTGCTCAGAACGGTGCCGGGATTAATTGTACCGATAGGTGCCTGAATGGGGAGCATGCAAGGCTGCTCACTCCTGTTGTAATTATTTCCAAAACCAAGGAGGAAATTAAAATATATGGGGAGATGCCCCTTTTGGTGGCTTTTTGACTAGCAAGCCGTCGCCAAGATTGAAAGCGCATCCTGAAACGAGCTGCCTTTCCTTCCAGAGGAGCACAGCGTGACATCGAGGAGGAGAGGCATCTAGCAGCAGCGCGAGCAGCCGCTGTGGTGGAAGCCAAGCCATCTCCTGGGGAAGATGGCTCGGGCCCTGGGGCCGGTGGGGGAACCCAAGCCATCTCCTGGGGAAGATGGCTCGGCCGCCGGTGCTGTCTGCTCCTGCAGACACGGCGCTGTGGTGTGCATCACTCCCAGAGAGCATGGGCACGTTGCAGAACAGGTTCCTCTGTTTGCGGCGAGGCTGCGTGGGCGTCTTCACTGACTTTCCTCCCTTGCCTTCTTCCAGGATGCTCTGGACTTGTGCGAGCTGCCTTCTCCTCATTGGGGCGAGGAGCTGGCACCCAACCTTGCCAACGCATCCTGATAAAAACCGGCAGTCCCCACGTTCAAAGGCAAGAGCGTTCAAGTCGGAGCTGGTTGGTGGAGACGATTGAGTCTTCTCCAGCGGCTTCATCTTGAAAGAATTTTTTTTTATTTTTTTAAAACTTTTCCCCCCTTTTCTGGCTCAGCCAACGCTGCTGCGCACGTCTGCCGCTCAGCAGCGCGAGACGGGCTCTCTGGGCCTCTTGGGGAGGGAATTCAAACGTTTTCACTGGCCTCTGACTGTGCACGCCACATTCCTGAGACCCTGTGCAGGGATGAAGAGGTCCCTGGCTGCAGATGGGCGCTCAGTAGGGCTTCAAATACCCAGCAAACTGCTGGGGACTCTGTAGAGGTGACCCCAGAAGGGGAGCCCTGTTCTTTGCAGCTCAGGGTGCACCTGGGAGATTTTTGCAGGGAAGGAAACAAGGAG